TGGCCGTTCTGGTCCCGGGTGGCGGGAGCTGTAACTGTGTGATCGCGGCCCTGAGACAGGAGAGGCGGGGATGGGTGAGAAAGCAGTGAAGAGCTACCTAGTTTGTAGTCTGAGGTGACTTTAATAATTTTAAATAATTCAGACGGCAGGTCTGCGTTATAGGGGAAAAATCTTTTGTGTGTGGCCGATCACTTCAGGAATTCCACTGGATGTAGCTTGATCTGTTAAAGGCAGTACTGCTGGACGTATCGTAGCCACAACATCATCACTTGAAGATGTTCTTGCAGCTGCTCTTTGCTAACAAGTGGGCACCATACTGATAAAAATAATTTTGAAGTATGGGGAATAATCAGACTGGCACCATGTAACACGGTGATGGCTATACAGCCATCATTAAATGTCACTTTTTATTTGGTGAGTTGAAAATCTTTCCAAATTATTTTTGGATCAGTTTTGATTGGCAGAAAAAATCCCTGATCTACTGTTAAATATGCTTGCACATTTCTTGTCTGGAGGAGAGTTCCTGATTAGTTTCTGTGAGAGGTGGCTGCAGGTGGCACCGGGTTGCTCTTCACAGGGCCGAAGTGGTTGTTGGTATGTGGCTGATGGAGCTGGCAGCTGAGTAGCCTGCTCCAGCTGCTCCTTCTCTGTCCAGGCTAGCTAAAACGTGAAATAAGAAATGCAAATAAAGAAGAAGCACTCCTGATGTTAGAGGCTTTCCACTGAAAAGATAACCATGTATGTTCTCTGTTTGTGTGTGCCAAGCAGGAGAAGGATAATTTCACCTTTTTTTAAAGGAATTATGTAAAAGCTTTGATGTGATAGGCCCCAAAAGTTGGTTGCTCCATTTACTGTAATGGTAAAATGTGCTATTGTAATGTCAGTGTTCAATTATAAAGAATTAAAAATGTTGCAGCTACTTAACATGCAATTAGCATGTTGTGATGAATATAACATGTGATTTGAGGAACGAAAAGGTATTTTTGGCAGCTGTTTATCTTGGAGAATTTTTAGTACTATTATATCCTAATGCACGTGTAAGAAATGTGACTTCAGATCTAGGAAAGTAATCAGCTATACAAGTAGATATTCTTGGAGTATACAAGTAGATATTCTGCAAAGTTAAACATAATAGTATATCTTCACTTGTTTATGAAAAGTATTTTAAGAATTGGGAAAGGGTTGACTAATTGACTTTAGTAAGTACATGGTAATACAGCACAAATTTAATTATATAATCAGCTCTGAAAGAGGTGGGATTTTTGGAACCTACTACTGTGCTCACTAGAATCTCCAAGAACTGAAAGCATGGTCACAGCAAAAAGTCAGTGTTCTGTTTTGGTAAAGCATTGCCTGTTTATTTCACACTATGAATTTAACACTAAGCCTTTTGGATAGAAAAATATTGTAATATTTTGATGGATTTTTTAAAATCATGCTATAGTGCTGTTAATTCCGCTTTCATAAGAGATAATTATTCTTCTTTTCTTCTCAGGAGTCCGTTCTGGTGAAAGAAATTAAGGTGTGCACATCCTGAATAAATCTCCCGTGAGACATTGCTGGTTCTTCAGGTATTTTGAAGAGTATTCAGTAGATACCTGCACTAAATATTAAGTAAGAACAACAATAGTAAATAAATATGAATTTGTAACTTTGCTTGCTGTTTGCTCCTGATACTGATTTAATTCTTAAGGTGTTCATGCTCCAGCTGTCACATGAAATAAGCACTAGTTATTGTAGAGCTAATTATGCATTCAAAGTGCTAATTGCCGTTATGTAGTCACAGAACAATTTAGGTTCCTCCTGTCCTATTGCTTGTTGCTTGGGAGAAGAGACCAACCCCCACCTCACTACAGCCTGCTTTCAGGTAGTCGTATAGAGCAATAAGGTCTCCCCCTTAGCCTCCTCTTCTCTAGATTAAACCACCCCAGTTCCCTCAGCCACTTGTCACAAGACATGTTCCCCAGACCCTTCACCGGCCATGTTGCCCTTCTCTGAGCCTGCTCCAGCACCTCAATGTCTTTCTTATGCTGTGGTGCCCAAAACTGAACACAGTGCTCGAGCTGTGGCCTCACCAGTGCCAAGTACAGGGGGACGATCAGTTCCCTGGCCTCCTGCTGGCCATGCTAATTTTCACAGGCCAGGATGCTGGTGGCCTTCTTGGCCACCTGGCTCATGTTCAGCTGGCTGTCCACCAACACCCCCAGGTCCTTTTCCACCAGGCACTTTCGGGCCTGTCCCAGCCACTCCTTCCCAGGGCTGGAGCCTTGCCTGGGGCTGTTGTGACCCAAGTGCAGGACCTGGCACTTGGTCTTGTTAAACCTCATCCAGCTGACCTCAGCCCATTGCTCCAGCCTGTCCAATCCCTCTGCAGAGCCTCCCACCCCTCGAGCGGACCACACTCCCACACAGGTATCATCCGTAAACTTACTGAGAGTGTGCTTGATCACTTTCATTGGTAAAGATATTAAACAAGGCTGACCCCAAAACCAAGCCCTGGGGAACACCACAGAGTGTTGAGTTCAGGGTGGTGGAGAAGAACTCTGTCCTTCCAGGCCTTTTATAAGGCATCAAACATTATGGCTCCTAGTATCATCCCTGAGGGATGCCACTGGTAATGGACTGCCAACTGGACTTTGTCCCACTGAGGACAATCCTCTACCTTCCTAATCATTTATACATTGATTTATCTCACCAGTTTAGCTACAGGGATGCTGTGTTTATGGAGGTTTGTTTGCTTAAGTGTTCTTCAGGTGAAAACCCATGCTTGTCAGTCTAAAGCAGCAACAGATTTCCTTGCACCAATCAATCAATAGTACCTGAGGTCCACTAATGTGGGTTATGGCTCAGTTTCCTGGTGAATTTTGGACCACAGGTGAACACCTGGCAAATCCATTCAGTTATAATAAGCTTGATTAGCACACTGAAATTCACTAATCTTACAATTCAGGAAGCAAAGCAAGAATAGAAGTTAAACACCAGACCAAAAATTTTGTAGGCAGGCTAAAAACAGGGAGGGTGGGGGATGCAGAAGTTCAAGGATTTGTCTTTCAAGCTTGCAGATTTAGTTTTTTAAACTCTGGTGGTGGATGTAATTCTTGCTCCAACTGTTGCAAGTTTTCTTGCGCTGACTGGATATAAATTTCAGAGAGGAACTGCATTTTAGTTTCCTTTTATAGGGAAGGAAGGTCCATACTGTGCAAGCTGTGTGTCTGCATTTCATGTGATTTGGATGTTGACTGTCTGGGTGTAACTCCCAAATCACACCTGGTACACAGGAAAATGTTGAAAGATAAATCCTTCAGGCACATTGATGGCAGAAGGTACATGCTTCTTTAGACACAGGAAAGTTTTCTGGGGGAGCAAGCAAACAGAGGGAGGAAAGGAGGAAATCAGGAAAAAAAGATAATAGAATACTTTGGATTTCAAAGGACCTTTAAAGGTCGTTTAGTTCAACCTCCCTACAATGCTCAGGAATGTCTGTAACTAGATCAGGTTGCTCAGAGCCCCATCCAACCTGACCTTGAATGTTTCCAGGGATGGGGCATCTAATACCATGTGGGCAACTTGTTCTGGTGTTTCACCACCCTCGTTGTAAAAGACTTGTTCCTTCTATCTAGACTGAATCTACCCTTTTTTAGTTTAAAGCTATTTCCCCTGTTCTGTAACAACAGGTCCTACTAAAAAGTTTGTTCTTATCTTTTTTTATAAGCCACTTTTAAGTACTAAAAGGCCACAATAAGGTCTTCTCAGAGCCTTCTCTTCTCCAGGCTGAACAACCTCTCTCAGCCTTTCTTCATAGTGGAGGTGTTCTAGCCCTCTGATCATCTTTGTGACCAAATCAAACAGATCCATGTGTTCCCTGCACAGAGGACTCTGGAGATGGACACAGTACTCCAGGTGGGGTTTCAGGAGAGCAGAGTAGAGGGGAGAATCACCTCCTTTGGCTGGCTGGCCCCATTTCTTTGCTGGCCACACTTCTTTTGATGCAGCCCACGATACAGCTGGCAGTATGGGCTGTGAGCACACATTGCCAGCTCATGTCCAGCTTTT